CCCCGTCACTGACCCCCAGGACTCCCCTCGGGTCCCGCTGGGTGTTTCCTTGGCCTCGATCTTGAGAATCATCCCTCCTCGGGCTCCCAGATGTCAGTCAGCTGGCCTGGAGGCAGAGTGGAAAGGCAGGCGAGCGCAGAGGAGTCCCCAGGCTGCCCGGGTCCACCCGGGGCTGTGGTTTGGATTCGGGCTGGCGGCCAGGCCTGAGCCCTGGAGTCGTTCTTGGCGCAGGTGGGACGGTGCGGGCTCCACCTTGAACTGACGCTCGTGACCTCTGCCCTCTCGGAGGACCTCGGCCGTGGAGGCAGGCAGGGTAGCTCACCGCTTTGCTTTCTACACGACCACACGCACCGTTCAGTATTGTTTCCCACCTCCCATCCCCGGTTTCTGGCTTCTTCAAGCTGACTGTTCTCTCGGGGGCCACCTGCTTCTCCGGGGGACGGAGCAGGGGTCCCCCCTTCCTAACTGCAGGGTCTCCACACTTTGCTGCTACTGTTTGTACCGTCTCCGGTAGAACCTCCTCATCTTGCTCCTGGGAGTGCATTACAGGCGAGCATGACATGTAAAGTATTTATTTAAATAAAAAGAAAACCTCTCAATTGGTCATTGGATTACCTCCCTGTAGCTGTAGAGTTTGTGACATGTCTCGACCTTGCTAGTTCTCTCATTAGATCCGCGCGAGATCTAGTCACCCGGGTAAGGGTGTTAAGCAGGCGCAACTCCGGACCCAAGGAACTGTTGTCACTAAGACTGTCGGTCACCCCCAAACTGTTTCTCCCCTCCAGTCCATGGCCCACACGGATGTGAACTGACGACGAGGAACTGTTTTTGTACACTGTACATCCTTAGTATTTTTACACGTATCGGCTAGGGGTGCCCGTCTCTCCCTCCGTACAGACAGCTGAAATAAAGCACTGTGTCAACTGCTACTTCTCCGTTTATTGTTGTTGGATGTGGTTCTGTGATTTCAGCAAACTAAAGACTGGCCTTTTCTGGGGGGAAAGAAAAAGGTTTTTAAAAGCTCCACCTGGTATTCACCTGCCTGGTATAAAATGCGGCAGGAAAACAGGTACATTTCTTGTAGCTCCAAACACACGTGGGTTTCCTTCTAATAAAATGGCAGGAAGCAGCTGGGCTGATGTGGATGAGGGCTGTGTCCCCAGGGCAGGCGAGCTCCCAGCACGGGGTCCGGGCCCCCCGTCTTCCCAGCAGGTGGATTGGACCCAGATGCTAAGGTGCGTAGCTCCTCGGTGATGTCTTCCTGGCCACGTGTGGCTCTGCTTCCCTCCTTCCTGAGAACCTATTTTTAGAACCGAGGGCGCATGAAATGTG